CCTGCAAAATAATCTCAACAACAGTAGTTGTCTTCCCAGTTCCAGGAGGCCCATGCAGCAAAATTACGTTCTTGGATGAAAGCGCCTTTGAGATGGCATCTTTCTTCAAAGATTAAGGATAAGGTATCAGTTTCTAGCAACCAGCATACAGATCAGCAATCATCGATACTGCTTAATGCCCCATTACTCCACATTAAATACAAGAACACCAAGGAAAAATGCAAGGCAATGTACCCTAAGTAGCTGCTTTGTTTAAAGTCAATCAACCAATCAACTACCCTCAATCTAAAACTAGTTGAGGTTGATAAAAAAACAACTAAGTATTAAAGCTAGTTAGTTGACATTTCCTATGGATCCTTTCTTTCCGTTGTATTCTGTCTTAACAAAGCTAGCATTTTGTTGTAACAGTATGTTTTGAAATCAGAGACATAAAAAGGGAAATACTGGAAGTGATTTACCAAAGTTTTGTAGATATAAGATGAAACCTGAAAAATAAAGATGAGCCAATTGGAGTGATTCACAACTTTTTCATTTCCTTTCTTTTTTATATAAGATGTACTTTTTCATCCTTATAGCCCTATCGTCAAACTTTTAAGATGAAAATTCTTCTCCAATATTGATCATTTTATGAGAACGCAATTGCTACAAGCTATGTTGCTCGGACTCTCCGAAAATGTCACCAGATGCGTGTCGGATCCTGCAAAAGTAGTGTATATTTGGAGGATCTGACACAGGTGCGGGCATTTTAGAGAGTCCTCGCAGCATTGGCTAAATATGTATTAATGGTGTTGATGGCTGAAAATATGTGCAACTCAATAGTTTTAACATCCAGGTGCCAAGAGTGGAACTGATTTAAAAGGCTGTCAAACATTTGACAAGCAGTCATAGTACAAATGGAAAATTGCAGAAAAACAAGCCATTTAGACATCCATTTGCCGGAATCTAGAAGTTAACACTATGTAGCTTTCAGTAAGCAAAGGTTAGGAATTTAACATGGACATCCCTGTCTGCTCCTACAGATTTCTCAAAGCGCAAGTATTACAATTGCTTTCAATACCTAAATCATCTCTATGGTACAGATTTAGGACAGTAACAACAAATCTTTGGTATCTATAATTAAACTTTATGCATTAATTATTTTTACTTGCAATTTTGTCGAGGCTTCTCTAAGGACTGGTACAAATCAAGATGGTATACACATGATCAAATATAACAAGCAAGATTCTTTATGCCTCTCTGCCAAAAAAATGGGACTAATCCAAATACTAGTTTTTAAAGAATGCACCAGTAGAACACGTAAAAGACAGAAGGAGAGAAAATGATGACGTAGGAACAGGGGCATGTTTAAGAAAAAATAATCAAAACGATTGATGCCTCCACAACCTGAGAGTGATCAAGGTTGCGATTAAAAGGAGTGAAATTGACATCCTTCTTAGACATTGTTGGTGGTCTCTCCCCGAAAAGAACAGGAACTAAGTCAGAGGCAGGGCCCTTCAGCACACCTTTACTCAGTTGTATCAATGTGTCCTTCATCCGACGGTAGGTCACCTACGAAAGCAACTCCAATAGAAAGACTCTTCAAACTTCAGAAGTTCATACATAATTTTTCTCCACTAGTACAACTTAGAGAATTTCTAGAGCGCGAATTTTCCTGAACTTCAAACAATCAAAATTACAACATAGCATGCATAGAACTACTAACTTTGATACCTTCGGAAAGGTATAGCAAAAATCCGCCTTGTGACTTAGGGAAGGAACTACCTTAAAAGTATTCAAGTCAAACATTATTGCTTAATAAATAGGCGATCCTTAAAACCTCAAGTCAGATAAAATTGTATCCTATGTATCAATCAACTACATGGGAAACAGGGCTTATATGCTTTTATTTGTTACATCAAGACCGTGTTGGTACTCATTCATCTCAATTAGATGTAGGCAAAAAACATCACCTTTTCCAGATCAAGAATCATGTACCTCATTTGCCAACTTCTCAAGGCGTAAAGGATTATTCAGACCCTCTTCTGGGACATCATCAAAAGCAACAGTAATAGATGAGTCCTGCTCCATGAGAAAACAAACTTTTAAAGATCCAACCTAAAAACATTATTAATAACCTACACTCCATACAAATATTAAATAATAGAAAATTAAAAAAAAGAACTGCATTTTGGTCTCAATCGACAAAACATTTTTTTTATGACCATTTCAATCAACATAATATTCACTTCACATCGTTTCTTTTTCAATTGTTGGTTCCAGTGTTTAGAAAAGCGATCGCTTCGTCGCTTTAAGCGCGAAGCGACCCAGTGTCGCTTCTAGCTGCCTGAGGCGACTCGACCAAGGGAAGCGCACGCTTCAATGGAGGAATCGACGAAGCGAGGAAAGCGATGAAGCGATGAAGTCTATTAAAAAAGCGCAGAGAGACCTTTTTTAAATAAAAAAAAAACTTTGGGTCTGTTTTTTTATTATACAAAACATACCCCTAAATCGACAAAAATTGACCATTTCTTCTTCTCTCTTCTTCGATCGACGTCGACCAAAGCCTAGGGTTCAACTTCATCGACATTGCTGACCAGTCCAGGTAATTTTCTTCTTCTCCTTTCTTCTTCACTGTTTTTTCTTTCTTTCTTTCTTTCTTCTTCTTGTTCCCGTCCAGATTCTGCTTTTCTTTCTTTCTTTTTCCTTCTTTCTTCTTCGTTTATCTCTGAACAGTCCAGTTTGCACACTGTTCAGACTTCAGCGTCTTCTTCTTCTTCCTTTTATCTCTAACCCGTCCAGATTCTGTTTTTTTCCCCTTTTATTCTTTTTATTTATTAATTTTAATATGTATTTTAGTTTATAAAATTAATTATTATTTATATATGTTATATTTTTCAGTTTATTTGATTTTTTTAATGTATATTTCAGTGTATATTAATTATTATATATATGTTATATTTTCAGTTTATTTGATTAATTTTATATGTATTTCATTTTAGAAAATTAATTATTATATATATATATATATGTTATATTTTAGTTTATTTGATTTTTTTAATGTGTATTTCGGTTTATAAAATTAATTATTATATATATGATATGTATTTTCAGTTTATTTGATTATGTATTTTCTTATATCTTAATAGGGATTTCAAAATGTCTCAAAGATCGAAAGAGAAAGACCCGACTTGGCGATATGGCGATAGAGTTAATGAGAAGAATACAAATGTTGTATGCAAGTTTTGTAACAAGATTACAACGGGTGGAATTTATCGCTTTAAATTCCATCTTATTGGTGGCGATAGAAACGTCACAAGTTGTCCGAAATGTCCACCGGAGGTGAGGGATGAAATAAAGAATTTTGTTGAGAAGAAGAAGGAGCAAAAAAATCAAATGAGTCATCAACCATTGGTGACCAATCTTGATGATGATGGTGATGATGATATTGAAGAATTGTCACTTCCAACAAAACGGGGAAGAGATGCAATCTCTTCAAGCCATGGATCGACGGGTACGAGTAGGACTAAAGGTCCTATAGATTGCTATTTCCCAAAGAAGCCGGAAGGAAAGAGCGGTGAAAAAGATGTACAAAAAAATGCTAAGGACATTTTGAGGGATCATGCAGTTAGAGCTTTTGCACGATGGGTCTATGATGTTGGGCTCCCCTTCAATTGTGTCAACTATACTGACACTTTTGGAGACTTTATTGAGGCCGTTGGTCAATACGGACCTGGAATGAAGCCTCCCACTTATCATGAAATCAGAGGTCCTTATCTAAATAATGAAGTGGAGGAGACTAATAAAATTGTGAAGGAACATAAAGTTGCGTGGAACAAGTACGGCTGCTCCATTATGATGGATAAGTGGACGGCAAGAACTGGGAAAATGATTATTAATGTGTTAGTGAATTCTCCCAAGGGAAGTTTGTTTCTTGAGTCCATTGATGCTAGCGACTCATCCACTGACCACATCAAAATGTTCACCTTATTTCAGAACACCATTGAAAAGATTGGCCCAAGAAAAATTGTTCAAGTGGTCACTGATAATGCGAGTGAAAATATGAAAGCGGGTGGCATGGTGGAAGGAGCGTACAAGAATGTCTATTGGACTCCATGTGCAGCTCATTGTATCAACTTAATATTCGGGGACATTTTCAAGGAAAAACTCTTCTCTACAGTTTTTGGCCAGGGCGTTAGGGTACATTCTTATATTTCTCAGCGGCCCTTGTTATTGAATATGATGAGAAGATTCACCGGACAAAAAAATTTGGTGAAACCGGGCAAGACAAGGTTCGCCACTGCTTTCTTGACTTTACATAGTATCCACTTGCAAAAATCCAATTTGAGAAAGTTGTTCACTTCAGAGGAATGGAGCAAGAGTAAATTTGCAAAGGAAAGTGCAGGGAAAGATGTTGCACGCATTATTCTTTCTTATTCTTTTTGGAATAATGTCCTTCATGCTCTTAAAATTGGTGGCCCTTTGGTTAAAGTACTCCGTTTGGTGGATGGGGAGCAAAAACCACCAATGGGCTACCTCTATGAAGTTATGGATAGGGCCAATGAGGCTATTCAAGCATCATTCACTGATGAGCAGAAATATGCAAAGGTCTTTCAGATCATTGATGCAAGATGGAGCGAGCAACTTCATAGACCGTTGCATGCAGCTGGACTTATTCTGAACCCGTCACTCTTTTATGATCAGCATGAGAATAATTCATTGGCTAGAGAAGTGTGGACAGGATTCCATGAGGTTGTTATCAAGTTGACCCCAGATGAAAACTTGCAAGAAAAGATAGTAGATCAGCTTGCTATTTACAAGGCAGCTGAGGGACTTTTTAAGCTCTGACTTGCTATTAAACAAAGAAAGACGAAGTCGCCAGGTGACCAAGTGCTTCTATATTTTATAGCTCTAACTTTAATGTATTTTTTATACTTATTAACTCTTGAATATTCTTTTTCACTTCTATAGTTGAGTGGTGGGACCAATATGGTGTAGAGACTCCGGATTTACAGACTTTCGCCATCAGAGTTCTAAATTTAACTTGTAGCTCATCCGGATGTGAAAGGAATTGGAGCGTTTTTGAACACGTGAGAAATAAAAAGAATTATTTCGTGTTTTGAGATAAAGTAAATTATACAATTTACCTTATCAAAAAAAAAGAGATAAAGTAAATTATATCTCAATTCTCCCAACTCCTACTAATTAGTTGACACATCTTGTTTGCAGATTCATACAAAGAAGAGGAATCGACTAACCTTGAAGCGCCTCCATAATCTAGTGTTCATAAAATACAATAGAGCATTGAGGCGTCGCTACAACCACCGCAATCTAATTGATCCAATTCTTTTGGACAATATTGATGAGGCTAATGAGTGGCTAACCGGAGTCCCCGAAAATTGTGAAGATGAAGAAGTATTTGAAGGCGACTCTAATTTCACTTGGGGTGATGTTGCGATTGCTAGTGGAGTTGGAGAGAATCCTTATGGTTTAAGGGGGAATACTTCAAGTTCAAGCTCGATAGGAAGGGAAAAAGTGTGACTACTACAAGTCGATCCCTATCCCTAATTGATGAAGATGAAAGTGATCATGAAGAGGAAGAGGAGGGGGAAGAAGATGACGACGAGCAATATGAAGATAATAGAGGAATTCAAGATTTTGACAATCTTGAAGAAGAACAAGAAGAATAGAAGAATAAGATGTTGATTCTAGTAATTTAGTAGCTTTGATTTTGCTTGTCCTATGGTTTGTGGAGGATTTGGTGGTACCTAGTACCTACTTTTAAGTTTTTAAATTGAACTTTTTGATTATTTATAATTTTATATTGTGTCTTTGCAAGGTTTACATTATATTTTTTAAGAATTGCGCTTCACTTTAATAAAACGTGCACTTCGCTTTTGAAGCGAGGCGAGCCCTTGTCGCTTTTTTGCGCTTCTCGCTCTTAAAAACACTGGATGGTTCTCTCTCCACTTTGTATATCAAGTAAATGCTTTACAGCTATATTACCTTTAGCCTGTAGACAACCCCCTGTCCAAGTGCAGGGGAGCCTAAATCAGCTTTGTTTGGTTTCAGAACAACAACGTCATGAGTGCCAAACTGCAAGAGAAGGAAGTATCTTCAGAAAAAATAGTGACTGCAGATTAAAAGAAACTGAAGGGGAAAGGGGAGCTTAAAGCTTTAGTTCAAAAGAGTAAAATCTGATATCATCAAAACTCAAACACAGTAAGTGGCCTAGTTACGACAAGGATCAATTAGTAACTGTTACGAAGGGTTCTGAATATTTGGTCTCATCAATCTCTGGTAGACCGGTAGAGGCAAGCTTCTGAAGCTAAGTTTAGTGCAGGCTGTACGCTTCGGTTCTTTTAGGCGGCATTTTAGTGCAGGCACCAAGATTTCAAGACATGCAACTCAACAGCCACAGACTTTGTGTTAACGATGGCAGCACTAAATGATAATATAGCTGGAAAAGCGATATATTTACTGTTAATAAAACATTATAAATTATGAATAGAAAACGAAAAGTTAGTTTGAAAAACTCGCAACTGAATTAGAAATTAAAAAATACATCTATGCATTTGAGTTAAATATTTAAAATGGTTTTAACTTCATATATTTCATTCATTTGCAATTTTAAAAATGGTTTTGAATTTGATTGAAAAGGTTTTTACTTCATATATTTCATTCGTTGGTCCTGCAATTGTTCTATGTGATTATAATTACCTTCACCTTTTCAAAAGAAAATAATAATTTACTAATCTTTGTTACAAAAAAATATTTTTATATTTTTTTCATCTGCTTTTTCTTCACTGAAACGAGTGCTTTAATTTTGCTTTGCACTTGATGCCCAGCAGACAGTTACTACATTTTTACGCTTTTCGCCTTTTGACAGCATTGATCTCTGACAAAGAACATATCTTTTATACTTGCAATAAAATGCCTAGATCTTGAAAGCATTATAGAGAAATCCTCTTAATCACATCGCAATTCACCTTGTGAGGCGGAAGAATATCCCCTTTGTTTGATTGAAGCTCCATCAGCGTCTTGCCCATTAACCCTGTCTGTCCATAAAATGCAAAACTAGTGAAAAGACCGTGCTTAATCCAACTTAATGTATCCAAAATAGCATAATCAAGAAGCAGGGGAAAAAATACTACCTGGATATCAGCACACTTCAAATTCAGAATAGTGGAACCCTTCTTCTGAGCAGAATCCAAACTCCTCGTCTCAGCTGAGCTCATGGAAAGTGATATTTCAGCTTCCTTAACAGATCATTCAGGTAACACATCACAATATCAGCATATTTGTGGAAAAAATAAAGAACAACATTTCTAGCTATAACAACTACTTCCTCTGTCCGACTTTAGGTGTCCAACCAACTAAACAACCACATCCCAATTCTAAATAAGTTGGGGTCTGCTATATGAATACTTTGTACGCATTCCTCTCAATTCAAGCCCGTCAATGACGTCCCAACTTATTTAAGTATTGAGAAGATTAATCTGACTGTTTTTAAGATGACTGTCAACCTAACACAACCCTTATCTTTCATACCGAGTAGGGACGGGCTATGCTTCCAAAGCTCATATAGGAAAAATTTCCCACTTTAGGGGTCCACATTTTAGATGAAATTCCACATTAACTCTCCAATTTAGGTGTTTGCGCTTACTGAAGTATATTAACAAAATACATTGATAGACAAAATTCAGACCTTTTGACACCCAAAAAGGTCTTAAAGCATAGATAATATGACAAAGATTATCCTAATTCCTACAGACACATTATTCACCTCTTTCATATACATTTCTAATTAAAAATCAAACTGTAATCCCAAAAATGGCCAAAACGTGGGGAATTGGAGAAAAAAGGGTGCAGGTGAGTACCTTTTCCAAATCTAGTAAAGGGGCCATGGTGGAAACGAACTGGTCGACAGTCATGGCAGTTGAAGATGATGATTTGTTTTTCTTGTTGTTGCTTTTCCCTTTCTCCATTTGCTACTAACTGACTAACTCTGCGATGATGATGAAGAACGTTGGGAAACAATTACTTTCACCCGGTTTTACAAAGGGTTACGAAATTTCCTTTCCTTTTTCTTACGTTTGTACTTTTTGTAACTTTTTCTTTTTCTTTTAGTTTGGAGGGGAAAACTATTACTGTACTTAGTAGCAGTAAAAAGTTTTTGGAAATTTTAGGGCCCGTTTGGCCCTCAAAAAAAATTTACTTTTTTCGAATTTTTTTTACTTTTCTACATAATCAATGTTTGACTATAAAAATTTTAAATTTCACTTAAAATTAAATTTTAGAATTTTTTTCGAAAATTTTAAAAACTCCAATAAGCTGTTTTTCAATTTTTTTCACTTCAAATCACTACAAAAATTCAAAAATAACTCCAAGTTGTATTCATGTCCAAACACAATTATAATTTTCAAAATAATTTCACTTTTTTCGAGAATTTCACAATTCTTATGTCCAAATGCCTACTTAGTAGCTCAGTTGGTTAGCTATATGAAAGTTTAAATATGTATTTAATGGGAAAGAAAACACCGCAAATATAAAAGTCAAAGAAAGAAGACAAAAGAAGTATAAAATAGACAAAGAGAAAAAACAAATTATATGTTTGGCTGCAAAGGAAAAAAAGTAGTACGAAACAGAATGTTAGGCGAAAGAATTCTTTTCTTACGACGTAAGGGCATTCACTATAAAAGGGGTATCTCCCTTTTCATTTGCAGATCATCCCCACAACTTCTTCTTTCTCTTCAATTAATAAAAAGATATTATTTGTGTGGCCGTGGAGTAGGCAAAAATTATCGAATCACGTAAATCCTGACTTATGCAATTATTGATTTTCTCTTTTAAATATTTTCCCCTTCTATTAGCTTGTCACACTTTCCAACATAGCACAAACAATGTAATTTTGTAGAAAAGTACGATATTGGTATAGGTCCTATTCACAAAAATAGTGCGATACTATTGATCATCAATACTAACACTATTCATAATATGGAAGCATTATTCATTAATAGTGATAGTATTGTTCACCAATAATGAGTGTTGTCTACCTTATACGGTTGGGACATTTTTCCTACACAAAGTACTATTCGCGGTTATTATAAAAAAAATGTGAAGAAATGGTGTCGGAAGAAGGGAAAGTTAAGATTGAGAAGTTCAATGGCAAAGATTTTGGATTCTAAAAAATGCAAAGAGGATTATTTATACCAGAAAAAATTACACTTACCTCTTATCGGGGTAAAACCAGAGAATATGGCCAAAGCGGATTGGGATATATTAGATTGTCAAGTTCTTGGTGTGATTCATTTGACGTTGACACGAAATGTGACATTCAACATCATTAACGAGAAGATTATTGCAGGCTTGATGAATGCGTTATCAAATATGTACAAAACGCCATCTGATTCAAATAAAGTCTATTTGATGCATCGATTGCTCAACTTGAAGATGACAGAATGTGGATCTTTTATGGAATATATCAATGAATTTAAATGTAATATTAACTCAGTTAAGTTCTATTAATATAAAATTTGATGACGAAGTTAGGGCGTTGATTCTACTACCATCTCTGCCGGAGAGTTGGTCTGCAATAGTAACTGCAGTTAGTAGTTCATCGGGAAGTACCAAACTCAAATTGGATGATACCAGAGACTTGGTTCTAAGCAAAGATATTTGCCAGAGAGAATCAAGTAATTTCATAGGATCTACTTTTAATACCGAAAGCAGGGGAGAAGCAGCCAAAGAGGACAAAGTCATGATCGTGGCAGATCAAAGTCAGGGAGAAGAGGAAAATTCAAGAATCGCAAAGACATTACTTATTGGAATTGCGATAAAAAGGGTCACTACAATAGTTAGATGTTACACCCCATATTTTCGAACGTGAAAGTACGCCATAAGTAAATTAATGAAAGCTCGGAAATGAGATGTTACATCCCGCATTTTCGTATGTTAAAGTTTCGTCGTAAGTTAATCGACGTAAGTTCGGGAATGAGATTATTTTGAGATTATAAGCATTATGCTATTTCAAACAAGTGATGAATAAATTCGTGAAGGTGAGAGGGTAAGCAAATCGAAGAAAATGAATTTCGTCAAAGTTTGACATTTTGAGATAAAATACGGTCCAAGCTATAATACCCCGTATTTATGGACTAGTGCCTTACAAGGTACCACATGACCATGATAGTAAGTGTATAAAGTGTGTTAAAAGCGAGTAGTATTTTAAGTAATTTGAGATAATTCTTAATTATGTGGATAATTGGGTAATTATCGGTCAGTGGGAGATTAACAAGATAATCAAGAAGATTAATAAATAATTATGGTTATGGGATAAGGCCTAAAAGGCCCAACGTGGCAGCCCACTATTCAAATTAGTGACTCTTGAATTGAATTACTAGGTGGTACCTTTAGAGGGCCTCTTGGCTAAGCCATAAAAGGCTTCTTAAATCCAACAAAAGATATGTAAGATTATGATAAAAAATTCACAAAATAGAGATGTTCACCTCCTCCCATCTCCAAGTAACGATCTCCATAGCAATGTACATTGCTTCAGCAAAACAAAATTGTTAGTAACGTGAGTTACGTCACAAAAGAGAGGTGCTTAATCTAATCTACAAAGTGACGGATCTCCAGCCAAGAAACTCATACGAAGTTATACTACGTAATAGCAACGGGATTTGCAATTCTAACGGAGCCCGATATAATCTTTCTCAAGAACATCATACGGATTTTTTTTCTACTTCGATTTGCCGTTACATGTCTTTTTCGTAATTGACGGGTGTTAGAGGGATTGTCAAGAGAATAGGCTCAAGTATGTTAAGGCTATCCCTTCTTTCCTTTTGGCATGACCCAAATGATACAAATGAAACGAGCAAAATACGCAACTTTCATAAATGACTCTATTCATAGAAATACTAGGGGTGTCTATATTCTTAATTCCCCGTGTATCTTATTATTCTATCATCTGTTCATGGGTCTCAGAAAATACGTAAGTTGATAATTTTATTTTATGACATTAATCAAAGGCATAATGGTCCTATGAAGTTCCGAGAGATTTTATTGACGTATTTCATATGCATTTCATTCATTTATACATGTACATTGACCCATGACCAGATGGCGTTATATATGCGTATATTATATGTATATGAGATATGGGAAAAGATTACGGCGTTATATATGCACCATCACCTGATCAACTGGTATACGTTGATGATTTGTCCACAGTGGCCGAGATGATATGATGGGATGCCCTCAGAGGCTTGATGATGTTATGTACGCATATACCTATGCATGGTATGACATTTATATGCATATACATGGCATTGTAAATATTAATGATTCATAGAGTTATTCAGACTTACATGTCGAGTCTTTTACTCCATGCTTCTCTCATGTCTATTATTTACTAATTTTTATTCCTTACATACCCAGTACATTATTTGTACTGACGTCCCTTTTGCCTAGGATGCTGCGTTTCATGCCCGCAGGTCCCGATAGACAGGTCAAGAGTCCTCCAAGTAGGCTATCAGCTCAGCGGAAGGTGTTGGTGCGCTCCATTTGCTCCGGAGTTGCTTGTTTGGTCCATATGATTTAAACGTGTATTGTTTGGTATGGCGGGGCTCTGTCCCGACCTTTATGACAATTATGTATTCTTAGATGCTTGTAGACAGATGTCACATACGTAAAAGATTGTATGGACTTGTCGGCCTATGTTTAGTGTACGAGTGGTTATTTTGGTCTTAATATCTTATGTATAAGTTGGTATTACATGTTATATTCTACTTATCTCACGGAAGCCTCTCCGACTCAGTTATCTATGATAGTATGATACGAAAAGATACGTTATATTGGTTCTCGATTGAGTAAGGTACCGGGGCCCATCGCGGCCCATCGGTTTAGGTCGTAACATTAGTGTAGGGAGTCAAAAAAGAAGAACGATCAATACAAGGATGATAATTCAGCAAATGCAATTGCTGAACAAGTCGGTAATGCACTACTTTGTTGCGCAGACAGTCCAGTCGAATCTTGGATTTTGGACTCGGAGCATCCTTTCACTCTACCTCATGTAAATAATTATTGCATAAATATGTTGCTGGAAAATTTGGGAAGGTTTATCTAGCAGACGGCGAACCCTTGGATATTGTCGGGAAAGGTGAAGTCCATATAAAGACTTAAGATACGTTATGAAAATTGCAAAATCTCTGACATGTTCCTGGCCACAAGAAAAATCTGATATCCATGGATCAGATTGACAGTAAAGATTACACAACAGTATTCGGTAACAGATCATGGAAGATAATCAAATAAAATTTAGTTGTGGCATGAGGCTTCATGAAAGGAACACTATATGCAACCGCAATACAGAGAGATACTATAGAACTAGTTAGCCATGGTTGTGACACAACATTATGGCACCAGAGGCTCGGTCATATTAGTGAAAGGGAAATGAAGTTGTTGGCATCCAAAGAAAAGTTTCCAAACCTCAAGCATGTTGAATTAGGTTTATGAGAAGATTGCATTTACGGGAAATATAAGAGAGTTAGTTTCTCAAAGGCGTGAAGGATGCTAAATAAAGAGAAGCAAGAACTAGTGTATACAGATGTGTGGGGAACAACTCCTGTAACTTCTCTAGGAGGCTCACGTTATTATGTCACCTTCATTGATGATTCCACGAGAAAGGTATGGGTTTATTTTCTGAAAAATAAATCTGATGTATTTGTTACTTATAAAAGATGGAAAGATGAAGTTGAAAATTAGACAAGCCTAAAGTTAAAATGTTTGAAGTCTGACAATGGAGGAGAGAATGATAGTCAAGAGTTCAAAGCGTTCTGCTTTGAGAATGGGATCAGAATAATCAAGACAGTTCCTAGAACATCGGAACAAAATGGAGTTACTGAGAAGATGAAGAGAACCCTGAATGAATGAGCCAGAAATACGAGAATACATTCTGGATTGCCAAGTATTTTTGGGCCGAGGCTGTTCACACGGTAGCTTACTTCATAAACATGGGACCCTCTGTACCACTAAATTTGGAAATTCCTAGGGAGGTATGGACAACAAAGGAGTTAACTCTCTCACATCTGAAATTT